CCTGCCCTGTAGATCCCTGAAGCCCTTCCCCTCTCCCGGCCCACACGTCTGGGAAATGGACCCGGCCTGGGTAGGGGGAAGACCCCAGATCCCCGCAGCCTGAGCACGGGCAATGGTTTCAACAGCCGTGATGGATAAAGGCATCTTTTGTACATCGGCCAGGCTACCCTGGTCATCTTCCTTGACTAGATGGGTAAACTGAGGTGCAGGGAAGCCAATTCAGCTGCTCAGGGCCACACAGTTGCCAGCAGGCACAACGGCTCTTGCTCTGACCTTCAAAGGCTGGGGATGTGCGATGTGCATGTGCTCGCTCTCTCCTTTTTTTTTTTTTTTTAATGACAGAAAAACGACAATGGTATGACCAGGTGGCCCACGTGACTCCGCCCCATGCGTAAGGACCCTGGCCACTGTCACAGACAGCTGTCCCATGGCAAAGGCCGGCTGTGGACCCAGGCACCTGGGGTCCAGGCCTTGGCTCTCGCCTGCCTCCCTGTCCCAGCACACAGGTGGCCAGAGCACCGCCCCTGGAAGCCACAGGAACAGCTCTGGTGACCGCCTCCTGGAGACCTGTGGGGATCTTACCTCGACACGTGTTCTCACTTGAATTCTTGAATCTTCTCCCCCCAGAAGCGAGCTCATAGCCTGGGTTGCACATGCAGTAGTAACTCCCCTCCACGTTCTCGCACTGGGCAAAGGTTCCACAGTCCTCTTGCTGGGGTGGTGCACACTCGTTGATGTCTGGGACACAACAGGGCACAGGGTCACCTCACAGGACCTGGCACTAAATCAATGTCTCCTGAAAAGAAGAAGGCTGGCGGAACTGTTGTTGTGGGCTGCGGCCTGAGCGAGCCATTCCTGAAGGCCTCTTAGTTGGCTCTGTTCACCTTCGGGCCGGCACCCTAGATTTGCACACAGTGGCCAAGGTGGGGGATGGGTGGGAAGCTGTGCACCCCTCTCCCTCTGGGCAGATCTGCTTACTCCCTTCCCCCCCCCACTTTTCCATATAATTAGGGACTCTTATAGATATTATAACAACCCATGGTTCGATTAGATCAAGCATCATTACTGCCACCAACACTTTCAAAACGTTTTCTTCTTGAACTCTTGGATATCAGCTCCCATTTATCCCCTCCCTCGCCCACCCACCACCCCAGAAACCCTTATTAGTATATTATATGTATATAGTCATCCGCCCACCTACAATTCTGTTATTCATCCCCCTTACTCACTTTTTATCTCTCTTCCTTGCTATCTTTTCCTTTCTCTCCCTCTTAAATTTTCAGTGTGATTTGGCTGAAAGCTTACAGAGCAAATGCGCTTTCCGGTCAGCGACTCAGCACACGGTTCATCTCATCGACTGCCATCCTCACAATATGACTTCACGTCACCCACTTCAGCCCTGTGTCTCCCATTCCCCTACCTCCTCCTTACTCAGCCCTTCCCAGCCCTGCCCTCGCCCAAAGGCTGCCCTTCGGATGGAAAAGGGTTGTTTGTTCTAGGGCAGCGGTTCTCAACCTGGGGGTTGAACGACCCTTTCATAGGGGTCGCCCGATTCATCACAGTAGCAAAATGACAGTGATGAAGTAGCAATGAAATTAATGTTATGGTTGGGGGGTCCCCACTGTATGAGAGGGCTGTGGCATTAGGAAGGTTGAGAACCACTGACTTAGAGGCACTGCTTGTGCCTCCGTAGTACTTTCGTTGTCCTTGGGTGGCTGAACATTGAGCCACAGGGGTGAGGTCAGTTTTGGATCTTTTCCTTTTTCTCTTCCTTGCCCTTGATGTGGATCTCAAGGTCAAGGATTGAGCTGCTCCCACCATGCCCCCTCCCCACGGCCGCCGTCATGGGTGATGCCCCAGGGCCACTGGTTTCCCCTCCCCCACATCCCCAGCCTCAGTACCTTCACAGAACTCCATGTAGTTGGTGATGAACTCCCCAAATACAGGAAGGAACCCCGGGTTACAGCGACAGGCAGTGGCATTGATACATGTAGAGTTTGGGGGGCACCACCGGGCACAATTAACTGTGGGCACAGAGACCATGGTCAGAAGGGAGGGCTGCGCCCAGGGGATGGGGGGGCAGGGATGGTCCCAAAGGAGGGGGTGCTGGGCGTGGGAGACAGGTCTTAGCCTCATCCTCCATGGGCTGCGGGTGTGGGATGGGGCTCCAGGCCTCTCCCCAGGCTCTGGCTGTGACTGCAGGGCTCCCACAGACTCACCCTTCTGGGATCTGACTTTCAGCAGTGTCAACAGGAGGCCGAGCCCTGGAACAGAGGGGAGGGGTCAGAAGAGGCTCAGCTGATGGCAGGGGCTGGTGACCCTGAAGGCTGGGACATTGTCCTAGGACTCCCAGGCGGGTTTCAGGAACTGGGGGGTTGGGAGAACCCTGAGTCCCTGGCCACCTGCTCCCCTGCCCTGTGGGCCGTGCTTTAGAACCCAGGTCGATTCCGGACCCTGAGCCAGTCTCTTCACTGCTCCTGTCGCAGAATGGAGGTGGTGACGAGGCCCACATCCCGGAGTACTGGGAGACGGAGCCCCATGCCTTCTGCTGGGTGTGACAGACTGCTGTGGTAAAGGGGGGGTTGACCAGGTGTGCCTTCACATTCCCCCTCTACCGTGCTCCCCACACACTCAACTGTTAGCCCTTCTCGGGACCCACTGGTGACATTGCAGCTGAGCTACCACCTCCCCCGTCTCAGGTGCATCAAGAAGCCCCGGTGGTGTATGGGCTATGCATTGAGCTGCTCACTGAAAGGTCAGTGATTCAAACCCACCGAGGAGGCTGTTTGCTCCTATATTTACTCACAGGACAGGGTGACCCTACAGGGCAGGTAGAACTGCTCCGGGGTTCTGAGACTGTAACTCTACAGGAGTAGAAAACCTCATCTTGTTCCCTGTAAGGGCCCTCGTGGTGTAGCAGTTCCGTGCTGGGCTGCAACCCCCGTGATTGGCAGTTCGAAACCACCAGCAACTCCACAGATGAAAAACTGGGCATTGACTTGATAGTAGTGAGTTTCTCCTGTGGTGCGCTCAGTGGTTTCGAACGGCTGACCTTGAGGTTAGCAGCCCAGGGTGTTACCACTACACCACCAGGGGCTCAGAGAGCCAAGGGCAGGTCTACTCTGGCCCAGAGGGCTGTTATGAGCCAGCAGCACCACTTGGTGGCATCAGCTCGGTTTCTTTGCCCCTCCAAACACTGCTGGGTTCTCACAGATGGGACCCCATCTCCTGCAGCTCAGTGTGTCCTCAGGGCATCTTCCCAAGTGACACCCCATTCCCCAGAGAGCTAGAGGTAGAGATGGAAGAACAAAGGGAAGAGGGGAGAAAGCCCACGGAGATGAGAGAGACCGAGAAATAGGAAACCCACAGAGGCAGAGATGGGGAAGGTGGGGCATGGAGACTCAGAAGGGAGTGTGGATGAGACCAGAGGGAGACAAGGGGAGAGAGGGTGTCTCCATAGCAGGGAGTCGGAGGAGGCCTGGTGGGAGCAAACTCATCCTGGCTCGGCTGAAGCATAGGACCCCAAGAATCCTGGGAGACCTGAAGGGGGCCCAGGCAGGCTGGGGTGAGTCACTTCCGGGGCTGAGCGGAAAGGCTGACTCATCAGCTAGCCACCCCATCCACCTCCCGGATGGGGATTCCAGGGGAATTCTGGGGTCAGCGGTGCTGAGCTTGGCTCATTAGGGGGTCCTCCAACCAGAGAGCCTCCGTGTCCAAACTCAGATCCTTCCTGTCCAGTGCCTTCCAATCCTCAGCCTAACCTCAGCCTTACACCCACCCGAGCCACCCCACTGCCACCAAGTCAATGCCAACTCATGGCGACCCTATGCCGGGCTTCCAGGACTGTGAATCCTGGCTGGAGCTGACCGCCTCATCTTTCTCCTGTGGGTTTGAACAGCTGACCTTGCTCTGAGCAGTCCGATGCTTAATCAGGGCCCATTCAGACCCCTTCCACCGGAGACCTGGAACCCCAAACAGTCTCCGGCACCTCCCTGACATTAGGCCTCCCTCTCTTCCTCTCTCTGGCCACAGGGTTTGACTGGTTCCTCCCTGCAGCCTGGCCCAGTTCCTCTTTGCACCACCATACAATGACCTTTCCTTAGAGCGGGGGACCTGAGCTGATGCGTCCCCAGTTTCTAAACCCCTGGCACCCCCTTGAATGCAGAGAGGCCCCGTCTGGGGTGGGGGCTGTGTTTGTGTCCATTCGACAGCTGGAAAAGGCAAGGGTTCCAGCCCGGAGAAGGCTCTGAAACCATAGGGGGAGACAGGGGGCTGAGGGGGAGGCCAGTGAGGGATGAGATCCGTACTTCCTGGGGAAGGCTCCTTGGCACCCCACCCCTGTGGTCTGGCCTGGGCTGGACTGCCCACGGCTAAGGCCAGCCCTTCTCCACTAAGGGCCTTGGAAGTCCCCCAAACGGGAGCCAGCTGGGTGAGAGGCTGCCCTTAGCCCATCTGAAGTCACATCTGGTATACCGGCCCAGCCCTGAGTTGGGCGGACAAGGCACCCTCTATCTCCCCAGTAAGAGTCTCCTTAGGGACCCTGGGGCAGGTGAGGAGGACACCTCCTTCTGCTTCTCCTGCTTGGGAATCCCCCACTCCAGGCTGCCTCAGACCTGCCAGTGCCTAACCCAGGAGGAAGTAATAATAACAACAAAAGATAGTCTACTGAATTCCTATGATCAAGCCAGGAAGAGTCCCTACATTATCTCACTGAACCCTTCAAACAGACTTCCGAAAGTCCATGGAAAACTTCCTTGCTCTTGTAAAATAATGTATTTTATTTTTTCTTCCTT